TACTTAACCAGTCACACAGGATTATTTGTTGCCACCCAATTGGACTCTGTAAATGCATACCTTCATATCTTCCTCCTGCAGCTCCCTGCGATGAGATGGCCCTCTTACTACACATTCTAGTCTCATCCTTCAAAGTGCAACCCTACCACCAACCCACTCCATAAACTGCTTCTCCACCTCCTTCTCCCACCCACTGGCCCAGCCAGAAATCTCTTTCCTCTGTACTTGCATAGCACCTAGTTTGTACTAATTTTATTCTTTGTACTTTCAGCTTTTCTGAGAGATCTGTTTTCAAGTCTTGCAGTCATTGCTGGATTACCAGCTCCTTTATTTAGGGGAGTGACTGTGTTTTGTTCATCTCTATATCTTCCTTAATGACTAACTCATTGCCTATATATAGAGTCAGAACAAAATTTTAAAATTCAACTTTAAAAACAGGGTCACACATTAACATATTAGTCATTTTAATACAATGTAGATATAGACGGTTTAAGATTTATGGATAATTACACTAACCCTTGTTATTCCCTAGAACTTGTTTGCTGAAGAGTGTATTTAGGCTTTTGGGTAAAATAAGAAAGAGTAATGATTAGGGTCAGATTGTATTTCTGACTTTGCTGTGTACTAATGTGTAACATCAGGCATTTAACACAAAGTAACAATCAAAGAACTGGAAGTATTTAAATAGTAAGAATCCAAAAATACTTGTTAAATAAATCAATGAATAAGTGATGAGTATTTCAATGTATTTACATAAACTATATCAGATGTAATACGTAACATTGCAATATGTATGTATAATCTGAAGTTCATTTTCTTATTACTCCAGGGAGGAGTCAGAGAGCCATTTGCTCCTAAGTCGTGACCATTAAGATGGAGTGGGGTGTGAGCTTGCTGGAAGCCAAATCATGAAGAAGGGATGAGTCAGCTAAAGGCCAATTCTACCAGTGGGAAGACAGTCAGGCAGTCAAACATACACAAAACAATGACTATTGCACAGGAAAAAAGAAGACAATTCAGAATGTAGCAGGGTGCTTCTCCACTACCCTGGACACGGCACTACCCTGTTTTTCTACTACCCTGAACATGTTTTTCACATGTTACAGAGACCACTGTAAATCTAAATTGCTGATACAACAGCTAAAGATCTTAAAGCAATTTGGAGATATTCATAGAGTAAATTCCCTTCGTCTACCACCAACTTCCCAGGTCCTAGGAAATTGGAATCTACAAAAACAATGGAAAGAGGTATTTTACTGAAACTATGAAAGGCATTGGAAATATATCAGAACTTCTTTGGAACCTACTAGATAAAATGAAAAAAACTACACAGGTCCCATTGGGCTCTACTCCTGCATGAAGCCCACTGAGACTTTAGTGGAGGAAGCGTTCTTGAGGATGAGTGGTAATGCCTATTAACCATGTACCTAGAGAAACAGGGACAGGTGGTAATCAGGTAAGGGGGGTAGCCTGGGAGAAGCACCTGAAGCAGATGGCTGCCACCTTCATGCATCTCTGCAGGCAGCACAGCCTTTGTTTGCAATGGACAGGCATTACCCAAGATATGGCAAAGTGAAAAAGAAATCATGGATGAAACAGTACTTGGATACTTAAGCTAGTACTTGGATACCTACTAGTGCTTACTCATTAGCATACAGAAGACAATAGGACTGTGGCAAAATGACGGGAAGAGTTTTGCAATGGGTCAGGAGCCCTGCAGTAGGATAGAGGGTGAGACTCAGCAAAATGTCAGGTTATTTGCTACTAACATAACCTCATCTGTAACCTCCAGGGTACTGCGGCCTTTCAGGAACATGTTTTTCACATGTTACACTGACCACTGTAAATCTAAATTGCTGATACAACAGCTAAAGATCTTAAAGCAATTTGGAGATATTCATAGAGCAGATTCCCTTCGTCTACCAAAGGAAATATGAGCATCTCTGAAGCAGAGCAGCTGCTTAATGGTTACAGAGCAATATTACACAACAACTTAATCCAGGAAGAAAAGAACAACTCTGCATTTGTGTGATGCTGTATTTACACTACATGTGTGCTTTAAAAAAATAAAATAAAATTGAGTAGGAAATAAAGACTTCCACAAACTGAAAAGTCTCAAAGGCAATATCAAATTATATTATTTTACTTCTTTTTTATTTTTCTCTGACAAAAGCAACAGTAAATCACTACTCAGAAGTTAATATACTGTTTAACCTCCTTTACAAACAATAACAGAGGGACACAATGGCATATCTAACTGTTAATATCTCAAATTATAATCAGCACCATTTGAATGTTAAACAACATTTCCATAGAAAATCCAAAGGAAGACTGATAATGCTCATTTTTACAGTCTACTGTGTTCTATTCTTGAAATTAAAAAAAAGAAGCCACAGAAAGCAGTTATTAAATTCATGAAAGCCGTCTTCAAGTATTTGAAGGACTATTAATGTAGATGGTGGATTAGACTTATTCTGCATAGTTCCAGAAGCTGATTTGTGGCTCAATAAACAGATTTGTCATCCAATGGGAACAGGCCTAAAAAGGCATGCGAAAGTTTGCAAA